GGGAGAAGGACTTTTAATATGTCATCAGTGGAGAAGGTACCTACTTAAGTCTGCATAACAAATCATAATAGACAGCTGTTTTTTCACATACTTTTATTTGTCACCTTCCCTTAGGTGCCTGGGGGGAAGTGCCTTCCCATAACTTGCCTCCCACACCCAGAAGTCCCACCCCCCTTTTTCTTTGTTTAGTTCTAAGACATCTGCCTAGTTCTCAATCATCTGTCTGTCTCCTTGAGTTTCATTTCTTTGTGAAATCACCGTGCTTACATATGTATTTAAGAGTTTTTTTTTTTAATCTGTCTTTTATCAGTTTGGCCCCAGCCAATGAACCTAAGATGGGTAGAGGGAAAAATAATATTTTTTCCTTCCCTGCCAAACCTCCAGAAGCCACTGGGTCCTTCAGCCTCTCCATCTCTCCCCTCTATCTCGCACACCAGACTGCAGCAAGTGAAACAGGATGGGGAGAGCTGCTGGGGTTCCTCAGTTAAAAAGTTGCTCAGCGTGAGAAGGGATGTAAGGAGGCAGGCATTGTGCCCATCAGGAGGCACGGGGCCCTCACCCAGACTTCCTGGGAAATGAAGGAGAAATAATAGGCAGCTCACATTTGCAGCCAACCAGCCTGGGTGGTGTCCTTCTTTGAAGTGAAGCACTCAGAAATCCCTCCGGGGCGAGACTGGTTTAACAAACTGGAGATTTGGGTGGCCTGTCCGCACTTTGGGGGCAGCTTTGGGAAGCTAAAGAAATCAAATCAACCCCCTTTGCAGAGTTGCTTCTTTACAACTCTACTAATATGCACTCACTTGCTGATTTAAAAAAATCCGATTATGTAATGTTAAAAATGTCACAATTATCTTCCTTTGATAATGGCCTCAAGTAGGGTGACACATCAGCCTGTGACAGAGTCGACAGAAAGGCTCTTTGTCCCTGTTTTTGAAATAAAAATGGGTATAACCTAAATGTACCACCTACTTGGTTCTTAGGGGAGTCTAATGGACTTTTTTTTAATGTAAACTGGATACGTTCATAATAAGAACCACCCATTTAGGTGTGTTCTTTGCTAAAGCAAATAAATGCAATATTGCCATTGCTTTCTTTGGTTTTTGTCAGAATGTTCCAGGTTTAGATTTCTCGCCCTAGAGGTAACAGGGTGTGTGTACAGGGACATTTGGCAAAACTGTTCTGCAAATTCAGCTGGGTGCGCTTCTGAACACAGGAAAGTTTCCCAGGTTTCTTTTTGTTATGAATTGGGAAGGCTATGTTTCCAAGCCTGGGCATAACTTCCACATGCCAAACGAAAACACAAACAGGCAAACAGATAAACACAATTTTCCAAAAAGTTAAAAACAAAGCAACAGGAAGGCCAGAAGCAATCTAATTTCAGTAATATTTTCAATAAATTAATGGCTTGCATTTGTGGCAGCAGACACTTGGAAAAGATTGAGCTGACAGATGGGCACAAATAAAGCCACAGGAAAACTGGGAAGGATGATAAATATTATCTGCAGGCTATTTTCATCCCCCTTGTTAATTAACCATCCTGCTCTTTTACAACAGCTAAGCTTATTTTTCTTTTAGTCTGAAATTCTTTCATTCCATACTGTTTGCTTTCAAACGTTCTCATATTCCCCTCCTGTGTTTCTTCCTATCGCAAACCTGCTTCGATTTTCAGTCCTGTGTTCTTTCCCACTTTTCTTCCAGTGAGGTTTTGGAGGGGATAAAGCAAGGACATTTCCTTTACCTCTTGTCAGCATCCTAACAATTTTCTTGTTATTAATGTCCAACAACTTTCCAGCCCCAGGGAATACAAATTCCTTTCCTTTTCTATAAATTGTTGGGTGCCATTCTCACTGCCCATCACTAAAAATACAACACGGCGTATTGATCTCCCTCTCCCTCTCGCTCTTTCCCTCTTAGAAGAATTTGACAAATGAATTGGTCTGCCTTTTGTCTCTTAATGGTTTATGTCTTCTGATGTCCAGTTTGGCAGCTGGGCAGGGTCATTTAGTTGAAAGAACATGGGCTTTGGAAATAGCCAGCCCTTGGTTCATATTCTGGTTTTGTGTCTTATTAACTGGACGACCTTGGGTAAGTTCTTCAGTCCCTCAGAGCCAGTGTCTTTATTCCAATAATGATTCCTACTATCCAGGTTTGCTTGAGGGGTCCTCAGGGAGACGTGACACATATGTCACTTCTCTGATAGCAGAATTCTAGGGATGATGGCAATCAAGGGGGCGTTAGGTCAATCATGACTTTTTCTTATGCAGCCTTAATACCTTCCTCTTTTCCTGCCACAAAGAAAACACAGTTGCTGAATCAAATGAGACTTTTCCATTTTTTGAAAAGCTTTAACTGGGCCCAATTCCTTAAAAGGGCTCTTTTTTGGCCAGAGGCGATTGGATCTGTGGTCGTTTGGTTCAGCAGAAATCTGGTATACCTCCCCTGGCATCCTTGCTCTTCCCTTTTATTTTCAGCTGTCAGGGGGTTGTGAGGAAGGCAAGAGGGAGAACAGAAGATGATGCTGGGATTCTCTTTTCTGTGCAGCAGCCCAAGAGTGGTGGAAGGTCAAAAAGCTATAATGAAACTCACTGAGGAGTTGTCTGATTTGAATAATTCAGATTTCAGTCAATTAGTACTTCCTCAGAGAAACCTTACCTGACCATATGATCAAAACTAATTCCCCCAGTCGCTCTCCAGTCATTATTCTGCTTTATCATCATCACAGCAGTCACCACTATCTGAAATTACTTGCTAATGTATATGTCTACTCGTCTGTGTTTTTTGTTTATTTCTTCCACTGAAATGTTAACTCTATGACAGCTGGAAACCTACTTATCTTACTTTCTGTTATAGCCTCATTGCTTGAAGCAGTATGTGGCAAACCTAGGTCCTCAATATGTGTGATACATAAATAGTTAGGCTACAGATCTCACTAACATGTTGGAAATCATCCTGGCATCTATCAAAAGAAGAATGTAGCAAAAGATCTGGTTTAGGCTGGGCTCAGCTAATCTCAACTAATCTGTTTATGAGTCTGCCGGTAGAGAGGGTGGCAAGGCAGTTTTTATTAGATTCTGACTGCACCCCTAGTTTGGCAGTGATATACTCAACAGCGACATGATTCTTCAGGAAGAACCAGGAAGTAGTTCAACACAGGTTTATTTATTTCATGGAGCAGTGATTGACACACTGATCATGCCTCCCTATTAAAACACATTCTGAGCTCGTCTTCTAGAATACTGTTCTCTTTTGACTCTTTCAACCTCAGTAGCACCCTATTTTCTTCATCTCCTCAACCCTGAATCTCTTCTCATCTCTATCAACATTCATCCTCCAGGAGACACGTCACATAACCTCAAATACTTTCCTATTTCGACAACCCGCAGATTTGTATCTTCAGCCCAGACCTTTGAATTCCATACATGTATTTCCAAATGCCCCTCTAATATCTCCATTTGGATTTTTGGATTGATTGCATTAATATCCACACCCTTTGCCATCTGACTTTACATTTTCTCTCACTTTAGAGGCAAGGTCTGCTCTTCCTGCCACCCCTGCTGAACCTGGCTTAGCTGTGTCACTTGCTTTGCCAGTAGGATGAAGTAGAATTCATGGTGTGTAAGTGCCAAGCCTGCCCCTCAGGAGTGCATGTGCTTTTCCACTTACGTGTCTCTCGTGCTTCCCTACTGCCGTGAGAAGTCCAAGGCCAGATTAGCCCTCTGGTCCCAAGAGGAGGATGTGAGACTTAGAGCAGAGCTTCCTAGCTAAGAGGCCTCAACCAAGCCAGACCAGAGTGGATCCCCAACTTACCTGGAGACAGGTAACTTGCAGACAGGTAATGAGTGAATGCAGCTGAGATTAGCTGAGTGCAGCCTAAAGCAACTAACCCTCATTAACCACCAGCACTGTAATAAATAACTATGGCTTTAAGCCATTGAGGTTTTAATTTTTTAAATTAGTTTTAGATTTAATTTGTGCAGTATAAATTGCATATATTTAAAGGGTATAATTCAGTGCATTCTGACTGTATATACACTGCTGATCGAAAACGTGCATTTCATAAAGGCAAGGATGTTATTTTGTTACTGTTGGACCTTAGTGGCTTGAAAATGAGCAATCCAAGATAGAATATTAACCAGTATTCAGCAAACTACTGAATTTTAGAATTTTAAAATCAATATTGTAATTTTTGATAAATAGAAAAATTCTGAATGTGCTCCATTTGGAGAGTAATATGTTTAAAATATTAATTTTCTAGAGCAGCCTAAATGTTCAGCAATAGAAGAGAACATCCAAATGTTGGGTGAGAAAGTAGCTATTACATAACTGCTTTGGGGGATGATATGATATAATAGGTAAAAATGTTCTGGAAAAAGTTTTTTTTTTAAGTAGAATAAACAGTGGTGTATGTGATATTTGTAATGGAAAAAATAAAGGCAAGAGAAAAAAAGGAGGCAAAAAAACAGCACAATTTTAGAAAGCTTGTTTCTTAGTAGTGGAATAATCAATTATTTATCTTTTTCCTCATGCTTTTTGGAATTTTTCACATTTTCTATAAGTTTATTTTAAAATAAGCTAGTATATTTTCTAGTTCTAGTGGCAACTACATCTTTGCTTTTCCATTTATTTAAGAACGAATAATATGTTTTTTCCAAGCTATGTAAGGCCCTTGATACCTAGATTGGCATACTTTCCTCTGTTGAGAATGGCTGTGATTAGTTCACTTGCTATTTCCTACCACCCAAGGAGAGATGGTCAAGAGAGGTTGGCAGCACCACTTACGGATACTGAAGTGTGGGCTCAGAGGAAGGGGCTTAATTCCCCTCGGTTGGGCAGCAGACTGAAACACAGACCAGAGCAGAACTAAGAGGAGACTGTTTCTCCATTGTAAATCCATACCCCTCCTGAGCGGCGTGGGAGGAGAGAGGTGCTAGGGGCAAACCTGCGTTTGGAGTGATCTTTGTTCTATGGAGGGTGTGAGCCCTGCAATTGTTGCCTTGTAGACGTGATACGAGACGATGATGGGTCTCTTCCATCTTCTGAGTCTGTACGTTCGTTGGCCACCATGGACTTCAATGAAACATCCCCTTCCTGGCTCCCTCTACTGCCCCCTGGGATGGCAGCCCTATGGGGTATGTACACTGAAGAACATCAGTGTAAAAATACCAGTGAAATCTTAAATCAGGTACAAAGATAAAAATATATCAATCATGCCAAATTGAAAAAGAAATTGTCAAGAATCATGTAATTTAAAAGCTGATGAGCAGGAGGAATATTGTAAACTTGTTTACATTTTTGCAACGTGGCTTGCCACTTTAGCTGGTAAACAGAAATACCAACCTGGCTTTGCAGGAGCCTCTAAGCCATGCTGTTGTTTACATGCAATGGAACTCTTGCAAGTGATTTTTTTTTTAACCCTAATGCTATTATTTTAGCATTCACTGTTACTATCATGTAAACTATTTTTACGACCCATAACAATGTCATTCAAGTAGTCATAAAGTAACGATGTAAGTGCTCATGCTGAAAAATGCGCCCCCAAATCAACAGCTTTTGGAGGGATGTTATATATGATAAGATGCCAAGCAGAGTAAACAACCACGATGAAACATGGTGCAGTTAATACGGGAGACAGCATTCTGTGAAATATTAGATATAATGCCGGGAACAGGAAAAGCGGCTTTAAAGCAAAAATATGTTACAACTTGTAAATGTGCTCTGAGAATACATCTGTCTTATTTTATGTTTATTCCCTTGAGAAAATCATTCTTGAATTATGCAAGTTCGAATTATACAAGGTCTTGTGAGATGCATCTTTTGTATGAAATAAGACCTCCCCACATTTTTATGACCAGAAATCATCCAACTTAAAAAAAAAAGTCAGTGTTGCTGGCACTTAAATAAACAAGTTCCAGGTTGTCTTTTTAATAGGAAAACTGCAGTTTTAGAATATATAATCCATCAGTTTGAATTGCTTAGAAAGTGCTTAGCTAAGTCCCTTGTGCAAATAGGTGTAAAGGAAATGTTTTTTGGTGATAAGAATCGGGTAGTTAATATTTCCAAAGCATTTTGCTCAGACATGTGAAGAGCTAAGTTAATTTCCTTGAAATGTTTAGGAAAATGCACAGTTATTAATCTAATTCAGCTTCCTATTAATGCAAAACTCACTGGGATGTTACAGTGTAATGGTCAGCTGTCGAGATGATTTATGCCATTTATTATTTTTAAAAAGAGGGATGTTTTGCGTTTTTTTTTTTATTTCCATGTGATAACCTCAGCAGAATGAAATCCCATTTCTAGTTTCCACAGTGCAATAAAAACAAGTTTGGCTTTTCAAGTTCAGCTGTGTGATTTGTGTGTATAGTTTCAATTTGTGATGTGTCAGCCAATGAACAGCTGATTTAATGACAGTTAAGAACCTCTACTCCACAGGAATGACTGAAGAGATGTTCTCTAGATCAATAGTATTGCCTGGTTTTACCAAGGAAATAAATCATTTTGCCACAAGGTTGCCAAAAGATGAGGGTTTTTTTTTTTTTTATCAGTGACACAAAACTATGCTGCCTTGGGAGAGACCAAGACATTTATTAGACTATCCATCAATTCAACTTTAATTAAATCTCATTTAATGGACTACTGCCTAGTAAAAAGAACATGGAAAAGAAAGTCGTGGTTGAAGCACATGGAGATTTTCTTTTACTACAAATGGCTAGTTCACTAGGGTGGACGGTGATGGGATATCTTGCTGTAGCTGTCTGGAGGAGAATTTGGACTCATAAAGGGAAGTCATGGAGACACACCCTGGATGGTTGGGAAGAAAACAAGCATCCACATTGTGAACTGTATGTGGGGCCACGTGGCAAGGAACTGAGGGTGGCCTCCAGGAGCTGACAGCAGTCCTCGGCAAGTAAGTAGTGGTCTCAATCATATAGCCGCAAGGAAACCAACCCTGCCATCAACTTGATTGAGCACCCCAAGCCTGGGATGAGAACTACAGCCCTGCCTAACACTCTGATTTCAGCCTGCTGAGACCTGAAGCAGAGGGTTCAGTTAGGCTATTCCTGGACTCCTGACCTGTGAAAATGATGAGGTGATAAATTTGTGGTGTTTTAAGCTGACAACTTTCTGGTAATTTGTTACACACCCAAGAAAACCCAAGATGATACCTTTTCTCTGGGTGGCTAATGGCCAATGACTGATCTGATCTATGTGCGAATATATGACCTGGTTATCTTGGCCCTGGTTAGAATAACTCTAACAAAATTAGTTCCAGAGCTCCCCATAGGATTGACTGGGGTTCTGATACAGCTGGTGAAGAGGTTCTGACCCCCAATTCCAATGTATGTATGGGGATCCCCCATACCATCAAGCAGTGCTCCATCACCAGTTGAGTGTCCTACAACTGAACTCACTTCTGACACTGTGTACTTGGAGATCACATCAGATTCCATGGATTAAGGGTTCAGCCCTACAAGACCATTCGCCTTTAAAGATTTAAACACTCTGCACAGAATCCCACTCCTGGGCATATATCCAGAAGGAACCCTACTTCAAAATGACACCTGCACCCCAATGTTCATAGCAGCACCATTTACAATAGCCAAGACATGGAAACAGCCTAAATGTCCATCAACAGATGACTGGATAAAGAAGATGTGGTGTATTTATACAATGGAATAGTACTCAACCATAAAAACCGACAACATAATGCCATTTGCAGCAACGTGGATGCTCCTAGAGAATGTCATTCTAAGTGAAGTAAGCCAGAAAGAGAAAGAAAAATACCATATGAGATCACTCATATGTGGAATCTAAAAAAAAAAAAACAAAAAAAAACCCCAACACAAACAAACAAAGCATAAATACAAAACAGAAATAGACTCATAGACATAGAAACGAACTTGTGGTTGCCAAGGGGGTGGAGAGTGGGAAGGGATAGATGGGATTTCAAAATTGTAGAATAGATAAACAAGATTATACTATATAGTACAGGGAAATAAACACAAGATCTTGTGGTAGCTCACAGAGAAAAAAATGTGACAATGAATATATATATGTTCATGTATAACTGAAAAATTGTGCTCTACACTGGAATTTGACACAACATTGTAAAATGATTATAACTCAATAAAAAATGTTAAAAAAAAAAAGATTTAAACACTCAGTCTCCAAACGCCTTCTGAGGCAGTTAGGACTTCAACATAGGAATTTGGGGGAACAGAATTCAGCCCATAACACCAGGATGTAGACTTTTAGACTGTTGCAATCATGCAAATGCAAATCAATGAATTTGATATATATTTCAGAATAATTTCTATTCTCAGGTCACATACATCATCAACTCACGCCAAAGGCATAGCATGGGTTGAAGGGAGCATCAGGCTTGTAGAGAGGAGGCAGGCATTAGGGGCAGCACAATGAGTGAGCAATGTTGGGAAACGACCAGCTGCAAAATCCTCCATCAGCTTTGGTGTAAGCTAATGACCCAGATGAGGAGTGGAGCATCAGGTATGTCCTCCACATGCCTTTTCCTCCTGCACACCTTCATTACAACTTCTTCCCATACTGGCCAGTAGAAGTGCCCATCATAACCCCAAAACACTGCTAGAACATGTTATTTTGGAAAATATTCATAGATGTGTGTGATTTCGTAAAGTGGAAAGGACAAGGAAAACCCAGCCAAAGAGTGTAGCCATTTTATTATAATAATAAATCAAATTTTATACAAAAATACAGCAAATGGCCAGGGCTCAGGTTTTGCTGTGTCCCGGGGAACTATGCTATAAAGCAGATTACTGTGGAAGGCAGGGTCAAGCTTAAATGATTTGCAGGTTATAGTCTTGTTTCAAAGAAATTATGGACCAGACTAAGAATATATAATACATGAAAAACCACAACATCTATAAACCTTTCTAATCATATAAATAGTAAAATTATGTCCAAGGTCATAAAATAGACATAAATGTACCTGCGATAAAAGGGACACTAATATATTAGAGCATATACCTATGTTATATTAAAAATACTTTACTATACTGTAAATTTGACTCATTTTGGTGTTCTAGCTGTACTAAGCATATAATTAACATTAAATTTGTTTGACTTACAATTTTGAGGTGATTTTGAGATGCGCTTTGGGTAGCTTATTTCTCAAAATCTCTCAGTAATACTGTTCATGACAAAAATGGCAAGTGGAACTGTCATTTTTTTGTTTTTTCTGTAGAGGTGTCTCCTTGCAGTTAACCAAGGAGGTAATATTCTCAGGGTTACTCTTAAAGTCGGAATGGTTCTTTTCTCTGCAGCATCTTTATATTTAAAGACAGACTTCTGAATTGTGTAGATTTTGAGATGAGCTGTCTGTTGAGTCTGTTCTTGTTCCTCTTGGTTTCGTCTCTCTCTGACTTCCAGCATCAGCTGTCATCCAAGTGCCATTGTTTGACTGCTCCAAACCTTACCCACTTCCTGTTTCCGGAACCTCCTCCCAGGCTGTGTGTTATGAGGTGGGAGATGGGGGCATGAGGGAAGAGAAGCAGGGTCCTTCTTCTTCCACAGATCTTGAGTTTGGGAGAGCCCCCCTCCCTGCCCGTTGACAGCTTGAGGGAGAGGACTCAGGCTCTGCCAGGCTGACCCTCCAAATCTGGGACTGAATCTCCAGGGAGTGATGCAAAGATGCAGGGCAGTTGAGAAACAATGTTCCCTGGTGTTCAGAGCCCACAGCGCCTTGGTCTTGAGTGTCCTTGGAGGCAGTGCCAGCAGCTCCATCCTGGAGCCATTCCTCCCACTGCCCAGCCTTGCTGGGTTCCTGACCATTGTCCAAGCCCAGTTCTTCAGTCATCCTCTGGAGTCTGTATGCTACCTGGCATCCTTCCAGCAACCCTCAGGTTAGCTGGAGCTGGTTTCTGTGGCTTGCAGCTATCTTTGTGCAAGGAGTTTCAGCAGGTGAAGCTAGGTACAGGTGGGGGCACATGTCTGTGTGAGGAATGCAGGGGGAGAAAGATGCTGAGAGGCTGACATGATTCTCAGGTGTTTTCTTTTACTCCTGGCTGCTGGTCCTGCAGTGGTAATGCTGGACGTTTTTTTGTGGGGGCATCTTCATGTTCTGCTTTGCCAGGGGACCCGAGGTCCCATGGTT